ATAATCAAAGTAATCGAAGTGACACATGTTGTCGGGCTTACATTTCCTGGGCAATCAATTTTGTCATAGAGCTGACTTTTTGATGCTACACTATACTTATGCACTAACAATTGCAAAATGTAAATAAGAACCCGAACACGTGTGGTACTACATCATCGTCACTTTATTTACTTTTCATTATGAACAACAAATAACTTGAATGTTATTTTATAATCTTACTACCATCAATTATGAATCAAAAGGCCATGTTGATGATTACTTTTGACGTAGTTTAAATTCCAAGTGCACTCCCCTTTCAGTAATCAGTACAAATGCGTTGTTTTGTAGTTTCAATGGGACTTGCGATTTTTCATTCAGTTCGAAGGAAAAATTCAGCAAAAGATTATACAAAATCGCTTTGATCTCTCCATAAGAGCAAATCTAGAGCCGATACAGTTTCTTGGCCCGATCCCAAATGGAAAATACGTGTCGGGAACAATATTGTGTTTATTTTCTTCGCTGAAACGATCGAACTTTTCTGGGTCTAGGAAATACTTTGGAAAAGTAAAATTATTACTTAGTCACCTTTGGATCATAGTTGAGGCTCAAAATGATTAAAAATTATTTTCCTATTTTCTCATTTACCTTTGGATCGTGTTGAATACCGTAGATGGGAAAACGAATGGTCACTCCTTTTTCTATGTTGAATTTCAAACCGTTGCCATCGTCGTAAACATAATCCTTAACACATTCACGGTCAATATCGGGAAGAGATGGCCATTTGTGAAGCGATTCACAGATCACTTGATCCAAATATTTCATCTTCTAAAGTGCGTCATAGGTAATGCGTTTTCCACCGAGATGTTCGTTAGTCTTTACGATTTCTTTGTAAAGTTTGTTCTGTACATCGAGATTGACAGCCAATTCATGGGCAGCGAACATTAACATCGTGGATGTTGTGTCAAAGCCGCCAACGAAGAAAGTAAAGCACTGCGCCACGATTTCATCGTCATTCCACGATCGATTCACAATTATTTTACCGATATCAGATTCTTGTACCGTAGCAAAACCCTCTTTTTCATTCTCTTTCTCATCGGCTTAGTGCGTTAGAGTTCCTTCACGAACCTGCATCAGCATATTTACCATATCCGGTCGATGAATGTTATTTTTCTTACGCACTTCCATCGTATCCAAAATCGTCTCTCTAAACAATTGTCCAGCTTTTTTGTCCACAAATGAGATACTAAACTGTTTTGCAACCGATGGCAAATGTAATATGATCAAAGCAACGATCAGTTGCTTGAAATTGAAGTCTACAATTCCTTTACCATTTGTGTAAAATTCATTCGTCGGATCTTCGAACGAGTTTATTTTCAGGCCAAAGGCACAAGTTGCAATCACATCATTCGTGTAGCGAGTAAAGAAGTCCTTCATTTCAACATTAATTTTCTCGCCATTTTCCACCTTATTTAAAAAGTGTTTCACCACATCATCAGCACATTCTGCAACCAACCCGAACATTTGTCGCATTTTACTCCCAGTGAACGCTGGACTTAATGTGGCTCGCATGTGACGCCATTTCTCACCTTTCAAAAAAATCACACTATTTCCCCACAATTTATCAATTTCAGGGTCAGCGAAATTGGTGCGATCTTCAAAATGATCAAAACCTTTAAATAAATATCGAAAAACTTTTCAGTTAATTGTATCTATCAAAAAGTGTTTCACAATCTGAAAATTTTCAAATAGTTGTGTCTAAAAATAAAAGTGATCGAAACCTTTTACTGCTATCTGTTTGATTACTTCTGGATCACGAACAATGTACTGCGGACGACGAAAGTCAAACATGCAACAAATTCTGTAGAGAAAATCAATAAATTTACACTGAATTTTTTAAACATACGATTTGCTTTAAAAACCACTCACTGTTCATCGGGAAATGTTTTGTACATTTTTTCTGCAAACTCAGCTGCAGTGTATCGGTTCAAAAGAACACCGCCTGTACTACCAAATAATGGTATTGGCTTCAAATACTTTATGTTTATTCGTTCGAAGTAGTCATTGTTAAGAGTTGCCCATTTGTAAAAGGCATACGAAATCAATGAAATTGCTGCTAAACACAACAGTTCGCCAATCATTTTGTTTTTTTTTTTTTATGAATTAACCGGAATTGAAATGATGAATTATGGTGTTATGTCTATCTGACTCTACATATGAAATTGAACTGATGCCATTCGCGCATACATACAATACTTTGTTGCCAGATCGGACAGTACGGCGTCATTTTTTGACGATTAGATAACAACAATAACAACGACGCACACCACAATACAATACATAGAAGCCTATAAGTATACACCTGTACAGACTGAGTACTATGCCGTTCTAATGATGATCAAATAATGTTGTATTTGCTAGACAACTTGTGCATGCAATGAATACTTCTGACGTCAGTCTGTTGCAAAAATTTGCAAATGCATAGTTAAGCCAACACATTGTGATGCAGCACGTCGAAGTGCTTACGCATTGGGTGATCTTGTTGCTAAGCTATGCATATGCGCACGTTTGGATTTTGCGAATGTCCACTTGTTTGATTAATTACTGTGGGCGGAAGAATAATAATGAATAAAAGTATACTGAAGGTGGTTATTGTTTTATTTATCAAAATTATACAAGTATCAACACTTGAAGTTGCACTTAATTGCGAAAAAACCTCCAACAAGATGCATGATTAGTCGTTTCAAACAAATATTTTTCCTTATTTTTTGCGTGGTTTCAATTCTAAATGCACTCCCTTTTCGGCGCGCATGTTGAAACTTGATTTTTTCAATTTCAACGGTATCTGCGATTTTTCATTCGGTTCGAAGGAGAAATCCAACAAAAGATAGTACAAAATCGCTTTGATCTCCATAAGAGCAAATCTAGAGCCGATGCAGTTACGCGGCTCGATCCCAAAGGCTAGATATGTGCCCGGTTGAATGTTATGTTTGTTCTCTTCGGAAAAGCGTTCGGGATCAAACTTTTCTGGGTCAAAGAAATACTTTGGATCATGATGAAAACCTATAAGTTGAATATATTGAACCAAGCACACGAATTATTCATTATTTGCGTAGATTGAGTCTAATACAAGCTTCACGAAAGTGGCGCCCCTAAAAACGCATCTGATTTGCATTGTACATGCAAGCGGTGAGAGTTCGAACTAACAAATTACAACAACAAATACTACTGACAGGCTCAACTCTCGATTATTTGGGACATCAAAAATATATATATTTATTTGTTTGCCCATAGTACCCACCGTAGATTGCAATTAAAACAGCGGTGCCCTTTTCAATTTTGAATTTCAAACCATTTCCGTCGTTATAATCATAATCTTTCACGCATAATCTGTCCATAACCGGAAGTGGTGGCCATTTTCGAAGTGTCTCACTAATTACCTGATCCATATACGGCATCTTTTGTAGAATATCGTAGGTGACACGTTTTCCGGCAAGTTTTTCATTTGTCTCCGCAATTTCTTTGTAAAGTTTGCTCTGTACATCAGGATTGACGGATAGTTCGTACGATGCAAAGGTTAAAGTTGTGGATGTCGTATCAAATCCTGCCAAAAAGAAAATGAAACACTGGGCGACAATCTCGTCGTCGTTCAATGACCGATTCACACTTAATTTGCCGATATCCGATTCTTCAACAGTGGCAAAACCTTCTTTGCCTTTGTCCTTTTCCTTTCCCTTTCCCGTTTGATGCGTTAACGTCCCTTCGCGAATCTGCATCAGCATATTAATCATGTATGGCCGATAAATGTTATTTTTCTTGCGCACTTCCATCGTATCCGAAATAATATCTCTGAATATTTTTGCAACATTTGCATCCACAACAGGGATTTTTAAGGCCCTTGCGACAGCCGGTAATTGCATTATAATCAAAATTTTGATGATTTTCCTGATTGATGTGAAGTCGAACATCTCTAAACCGTTTTTGTAAAATTCATTATTTGGCTCTTCAAATGAATTCACTTTGATCCCATATGCACACGAGGCGATTACATCGTTTGTGTACCGTGTGAAGAAATCCTTCATTTCGATATCGATTTTCTCCCCCTTTTCAGCTTTTTGCAAGAGGTGTCTCACCACATTGTCGATACATTCAGAATTTAGGTCAAACATTTGCCTCATTTTGCTCCCGGTGAATACCGGACTTAATGTGGCTCGCATATTTCGCCACTTTTCACCTCTCATAAGTAGCAAACTATTTCCCCACAACTTATCGATATGTTCGTCAACAACTCCCTCGTGATCTTGAAAATTGTCAAAACTGGTAATAGCAATCTCCTTAACAAGCTCTGGGTCACGGATTGCGAACTTTGGCGCCCGAAAGTCGAAAAATCCAAAAATTCTATAAAAATGATAGCATTTTGAGTTGCGCTTTCCAAAATGCTAAACCATATAACTTACCGCTCATCTGGAAATGCTTGAAAGATCATGTCCAAAAATTCAGCGGGCGTATATTTGTTGGCAAAAGCACCACCCGTATTACCAACCTAGAATATGTGATACGTAGCATATAGAATTTCTTCTGATTTTTCTTTAGTGTTAAGAACAAAAGACTAAATCGAATTTTAAAACGAAAATTATTGGAATAAAAGAATAAAAATGACTAACCAAAAATGTTGGCTTCATATACTTTAAATTTTGTCGTTCGAAGTAGTCATTGTTGAGTGTTGCCCATTTGTAAAAGGCATACACAATCAACAAAATTGCCGACAGCAGCAAGAGAATACCAATCATGATGATCTGTAATCAAATTGAATTAAGAGCAATTCCACACTTTGTTGTCGATGGAAATGTATGCTGTCGAATATGTGTACTATGTAAAAACACCGACGGTCCATTGTGAAGCTTTATAATTGATTTCGTAGGTCATTGTATGTCAGATTCTATCATTTGTTCTTCATCATCATCAATCACATCGCGCACAGATACAAAATCAACGAATCAACCATTGAACTCTTTTTTGCAAATATTCGAAATGACAACAATGTAAAAGTCTTTTATGTGCAATATAGGCATCGCTCTCAATAGAAACAATGGTTTGACCTTGACAAAGTGGATTCATTCCCTGACAATCAAGCTCAACAATCATTCAATGTTCCAAAAATGATGTTTGTTCGGAAAAAACGAAAAAAAAAATTGCAGCTGGCAATAGACATCTGAGATTGCATCGAGGATAT